GTGAATAATTTAGGAAGTTCTCTATTTTAATTTTTATTTTTATTTGTCTATAAGTATACCAAAAAAATAGAAAGAAGATAAAAATTAAAAAAGGCGGGCAAGTTAAAAAAAAAAAGGTCTGAAATTGGTGAAAATTTATGATACTGTAACGGTAAGTAGAATAAGTCTAATAATAAAATGAATAACATCTGAATAATATTTTCTAGTTGGGTATTTTTGGTTTTGTTGAAAACTGTATACGTGCAGAACTGATACGGTTTAGCGTGGAGGAAGGAACTTGTCGCGTACTGTAGGTGACTGTCTTTTTGTCATCAATTTCACAGTTGCTAACGTACGGTAAAAATTTTTGATCGTTATTTTAGTGATAACATTTTTGTTCCATTGCTTTTTTTTGTTGACTTTTATCAAGACTAACATCAGTTTAATAATGGTCAAAGAAACTGGAAGTATAAAGACTGTATTAAGTATATTTTGTAAATAGTAAACTGTTGTTTTTGCTTTTGTTGTTGTTGTTGTCGTTGTTGCCCTGTTGTTAATGCTGTTGCCGTTGCTGTTGCTGTTGCTGTTGCTGTTGCCTCTAATAATTAGTCATTATTGAAGAGGGTTTTCAATTTCAATTTTCAACTCTGAATTGGTTGCTGGCCCATATCATCAAAAAACTCCAATAGGCTGACACCAGCATTACAATGGAATTTGTCAAACTTTACTTTTTGCTCGATCTAATTTAGGCGTCAATCCGAAACGAGCGTCTACTGAATGGACTACCTAGCCAAGTTCATTTAGCCTTCTGATTTGTTCATTCAACCAGTCATTATTGCTCACAGCTTCTTCTAGCTTCATGTCTTCTTCCTGTCATCCAGCGATTTTCGTCATAATCATCATCGATAATCTACTTATGGGCTATAGATGTGTTAATTCGTATTTGGCACTTTATGTTACCAGGTTGCCGCTTTTAACCGCTGTCACTTTTTAGCATTGCAGTTAATAAATTTGTTGATAAGTGCCTTTTGATGTCAAAAAAAAAAAAGAAAGATGAACATTATTTTTTGCTTATGTGTGTGCTTTTGTTCACACACCACACTGAGTGGTGGCTTTTGTTGTTATTATCATTATGCAAAACGTGTGTCATATTATAAATTTATAGGAACCAATTTTTGGAGTAAAGAAAAGTGTCAAAAAAAAAATACACTTATTTATTAGTATAATGGACAAATAACATTTTAGTTCATTTATTAGCTTAAAGAATTATAAATGAATTTTCTTCATTTTTTATATTTCATTTTCTGATTAAAAACAGAAAGGAAAAGGAAAAGTAAAGTAGTCAAATAGTTAGCAGTTACACTGTATGAAGTGAATTTTTTTGTTGTTGTTGCTATTTTTTAAAAACATTATTCTTTGGAATTTTACCGACTAGATGCCAGAAATGTTGATAGGCTTTAAGTGAAGGGCAAAAAAAAAAAAAAAAAAAAAAAAAAA